TATGCATTTGCATGCTTTTGAACTGCAAGGTGGGCAGAGCTGGGACAAGAATGGGAGCTCATCCTATTGCACGATGTTTGAGTATCGAACTGCCAACCTTCTGGTTGACAGCCCAGCATCTTAACCACTAAGCCACCATGCCCCCTCATATAAGATTGCTGCAAAAATGAGGATGAGAAAAATAGTTTGAATAATATATATGAAAGAGTTGCAAAGAATGTAATTATGATTAAAAGAAACTGAGAAAATCCATATCATGATGGAGATAAAGTATTTTGAAGTATATTAAGACTATGGAAAGAATAAAATTAAAAAAAATAAATTAAAAATAAAAGTGAGGAATGATTTGAATAAAAGTGAACTGAGTGATTATTGAAATAAATATTTTAAAGATCTGTGTGAGGATGATAGTTAGTTCTTTCATGAAGCCAGTCTAGTGTGATAAACTTGCAACTAAGACGTTATTCATTACTGGAACAATTGGTATAGAAGTGCTCTTTCCGTATCTAAACAGCACTACTCTATTTAACTTGCCCTTAATATTGTAAGGTGAATGTACTAATTAACAGTTATAACATTTCCATTTTAGATTTACCAGTTTTGCACTTTCATGATTCAGACTGGGAACTACAAGGGTCTTCATCTTGTGAACCTCTGCTTTCTTGCACTACAGAAAAACTTTTGGTAAGTTTGTTCATTGTGTTCAGGATACAGATTCCTGAAAACAATTTGCAGTATAACTTTGTTGGAATTGTTCCATAACTTTTGGTTGGAGTTGTTAATTTAATGCATAAAACTTTTTTTCAGAGCCAAGCGAAAATACTTGCCAAAGGGAAAAAAATTCCATTTGCTACAGATGATGAGTATACAAATGAAGAATTAGGTAAGAGGCAATATGAATTTCTAAATTAGTTACATTTGTAAGTGAACTGAGCAATAAGGAACAATGAATACCCCATAGATCACCATGTCTAAAGGTGTGATTTAGTATGAGCTAAAGCTAGTAGTAAAATCCTCCTATCCATTTCTTGATGTGTTCATGGGACAAAAGTTCAGTATGAAATATTAACTTATTTTCTCTGGTTAAAACAACAGTTTTGAGGGTACCTTAAAGACTAGAAGCACGATCTTGTGTCCTGCTGAATTTAATCACATTTATTAAACAATGTTGTATCCAAATGGATGCTAAGGGCCAGTAGTATGAGCACTCCATGAAATAAGGCTAATTTGGGCCTATATTGTTCCATATAAATCTCATAAGCCTTTTCTTCCCTCATCACAGTGATGTTCTTATAACTTATATGAGGCCATGCTCCAAATAGTTTTTTAATCTCTTATCTGTAAAATAAGTTCGCCAATTTTATACTGCTTTGTGTTAAAGGGTGTGATTTTGACCTTCATATGTAATTACCTGAATTGTAGATTCAGATGGAGATAAAATAGCCCAATGGTTTAACTCAGAGGGAGGGAGGAAGTGCATAATTTTCAACCCTCTGTAACTTTGGGGCCCACTCAGACACAGCTATCTCAGAAGGCAGCAGAATATTTGATGTGTATCTTGATCTCAGAGCTAAGCTCCAACCTTATGTAACAAAGGCAATGCTGGCAAAGCAGTATTATTGGAATAGTATGCCACCTCTCTGAAGGCCAATCCACCACATTCTACCGAAATTTTAAAGGAGCAGAAAAAACAATACAAGGTTCTGCCCAAAAAGAAAAAAACAACCTCCCTATTCTGGCATTTTATAACAAATGGTTCCTGTAATGGCATTACAAAATTGCATTGTATCTTCTGTCATACCTAGATATATTACTTCCAAGCCCTTTATTGTGATCTGCACTTTAACACCTATGTGATGGATGTATCTTTATTCTCAGTACCTCAGTGACCCCTCCCCCCCAGGGACATGCAAGGAAGTAAAAAAAATCTCATTAACCAGCTTAATGTGGTAAAGCCTCTGAGAGTGACTCTATTCCCCCCCCAGCTAATTAAATCCAATTCATATGGTGGGCCCTGCATCCTTTCTTTTCATATATACACTAAGATCCCAGAGGGCTGGGAGGAGCTATAATTGTTCTCTTATATAAAAAGAGTGATAAAAATTACCCAACTAATTATAGGCCATTTAGTTTATTGAGCAGCATTAGAAAACTATATGCCAGGTATCTATTCATCAAAACTGAAGCCTGGGTAATAGATGAGGGAATAATCAACCCTGAGCAAGCAGGGTTTCAACTGAGATGATCTGCTATAGACCATTGTCTAGTGCTTCAACATCTGGCAGACACATATACAGTGTTCATTCTGAATTGAATCTATTGACTTCAGGACAGCATTTGATCATATCTCAAGGGTTAGACTCTGGGACATTTTGAACAGATCCTTTATAGACCATAGTCTCTTAGTTCTAATTTATAAGATCTATGATAAAACTGGCCTTAGAGAAAGATGTAACTGAGAAGGGGGCTTTTCTGATTTTATTCAGCTTGTCAATAAGGATGTAAACCTTTTAGAAAGTTGATATCCCTGGGCTTAAAATAGCTGATAAACATTTCCCAATTCTACTCTATGCTGAGGATACAGTTCTCTCATTGTCGTCTGTAGGCATGAAGCAGATATTAAGAACCCTGGCATCTTACTGTAATGAAGAACAATTAGTTAACTATGAAAAATCTATGGTTTTAGGTTTTTTTCCAACAAAGGAGAGAGGCATAAGTGGACAATCAATTCTCATGAATTAGAGCAAGTCGGGTGTTTTAAATATGAGGCTCTAGGAAATTAATAAGTAAATTGTGCCAGTTCTACAGATCAAAATATTGCAGCTGCAATAACAAAATTTTATAGGCAATAGGAGGTAAATTGCATTTTAGTATCAATCAAACTATTTATGGCTAAAATAGTTGCCAAACTATTATATAGGATACAACTTGACATATCTATAAATTTAAGGGCTTATGAAACCAGTCAATTTTCCTTACAACTTTTTCAGTACTCCAACATGTACCCCTAATGCAGTGTTTGAGACTTGAAACCAAGATGCCAAGCATTAAGACTCAGGCCTGGACCAGGATTCTAATCTCAGGGTTCAGAATCATATTTGATCATACAAGCCTGTTGCTTCCTGTGTTGTCAGATAGCTACCAATCTCATTGGCACCATACCTGTGTGGAAGAAGTTTGCAGTTTTGGCCTCTCCCCTGAATATTTAGGCCAATTAACCCTTGAAGTTGCCAAATCTTATATAAATAAAAATGTAAATGTTCGTTTGTTCAAAATCTTAAATCTCCGAAAGTTCTTCACCGATTGCTTTGAAATTTTGACACAATGTTGCATTCGAATACGCACGTGTTTTTATATACCTACTATTATATAGATGTCACATCTGTGACAGGTAAAAACATTTAACCTGTCTGAGCCACAGCAACGCGTGGCCGGGTACAGCTAGTCAATAATAAAAGTAAGAATTAGGTATAGTGATTGCAAAATAATATCACCAGGGCACCTGAATTCTATTCCCAAATGCTAGGTAGCCACATCACTCTTCTTCAGGTTATCTCTATGATCTTACCCTAAGCAAATATAGATGGGCCCTTTTCAAAACCTAGCTTGATCCCCTCCCTTCAGCACTGTTGCAGGAATATTTCATGGAACACTTTATATTGTATATAGAGACTTTGTTCTTAGGATCCAGGGACATAGAAGCTCTTGCCCCTATCCTTGTACAGTGTCCTTTTTATAATGGCCCAAAATATGCTTTGATCTCCCTAATTATTTATAAAATTGAGGGTCATACTGATAAACATTATAGGTTTTTTTTTACTTTTTAAGGGTTGCTAATACTATGCTCACATACCAGGTGGCCAAATATCTTCATCAAGTTATAGAATTACACAAACATTTGAATTAGATATATTCTGTTATTTTCTTATTGCTTTCTTTTCTCCTTGATAATGAATTGCTGTTTCTCTTTTCCTACTGTAAAGGCAGAAAACCATAATAAAGTGATTTGATTTGATTCATATAAATATTATCTGTCTATATCCCCTTCATGTTGTTTGAGAGGGTGCCCAACCTTTTGAAGCAGATTTATGGAGATTGCAAAGAGCAATAGAATAAAAGAAGAGTGAAAATTACTTTTTTCTCTTTCTCTATTTTATGAACAAGAATTTCTTTTATAGGAAGATGAGGCAGATCATTATCCCGTGTGGTTCATTAATTGGTAGCAAACCTTACGCAAGCAACACATTGATATTTTACTTACAAGATAGCATTTAGCTAACTATTACTTTGATTAGTATATTTATTGACTCTTGTACAGTAGTTTTTGATCACGAAATTGGGTCATCTCAATATCTGGTTTTGAAGATTTACAGTTCAGTTCCTTGTGGGATTTTCAACAATCCTTATATATGACAAATGTATAATTTACAGAAGCTTGATTTAATAAACTAAGCTATTATTTTGACAGCTATCGCTTATGTATTGATTGGCAATGGCTTTTATGAGGAAGCAATACAACATTTTTCAACGATGCTTCAGGTAACTTTTCTTTTTCATGTTTTTATTAATCTTTAGTAAAAAGAAGAGTTTCCCTAAACACACCTTCCTTGGGGAAGAGTGACAGGGGGTAATATAAACTTAATATGCAAAACAGAGGTTTTTAGGATTGAATTAGCGTTTAAAATTGTAATACATTCTCATATTTGGGCAAAAGACATTATGTACTAGAACTGCTTGTATTCAGGCGGAGAAAAAGTGGCTCAAAGAAAATTATAGGAAATATTTCTTATGGGTGAAATCCAGTGACATCTTTCTAATGAAAACAATTTTCACTTGTGGAGTTGATGTATCCATTTATACCTAATCTTCCGCAGTAGAGTTTGAAGATTTATTTGGAGTTATAAGGCATTTCAAATTTAGGAGAGAATGAACAAAAGTCTTTTTGTTTAAATAGGTGTCATGGAAAATGTCATACATGAATGTACAGTTGCTTTTGACATTAGGAGTACACAACCATTTAGAGTAGACATGTCAAACTCGCGACATCACGTGATGTCGCGCAACATATAGGAGCTTTTTCCCCATTGCTGGCAATGGGGTGGGTGCAATTTCGTTGTGATGGCAGTTTGACATCCCTGATTTAGAGTATCAAAGGTGGCATGCAGTGGTAAATGGCTTGGTATATACACACCCATGCATATAATGTCACTGCTGGAGTGAAAATCACAATCCTCATCAGCTGTGAAACAGCTTTGATCAGCTGATTGCACAATACTTGAGACTACAGGTAGTCTTTGCTTAATGCCCACAATTGAGACAACAACTCTGTTGTTAAGCAATGTTATTAAATGAGACATCATGTGATCATGATGGACCTATAACCTCATTTCCACTTGACTGGTTAAGCAGATCACCCATGGTTGTTAAGTGAGACTCCATGTGTGACTTGCAGTTTTACTGCTGGCTTTTCCATTGACTTTGCTTGCTGGAAGCTGGCTGTGAAGCTCGCAAATAGCAGTCAAGTGATCCTGGGGCATTGTGACAGTTGTAAAGTGCCCAAATCTTGATCACATAATTGTGAGGACACTGTGACACTTGTAACTATGAAGACCTATTGCAAAGTTACTTTTATAGCACTGTTGTAACTGAATGGTCACTAAACAGGACATTCATTAAGTGAGAATTACCTGTAATCTGTCCAGTAACCAGAGTTTTTTAAAAGAAATACAAGGTCATTTAAATCACTAAAAGCTGTATCTACAATAATTTATTACTGTCTTGTTATATGTTATTATATTAATAACACAGGAAAGTTATGAAAATAAGTTGTTGTGAAAGCCCTTAAAATTAAAGCTAATTATAACAGCATGAGCAAAAGCTGCAAGTACTTCTGGACCCAAATGCATCAACCTGTAAATGGAGATTTCATGGGGCTTTTTTCCCTAGATTGTGTTAAACTTCTTAATTACAGAATTCAGTGCTAAAATATATGCCTCACAGTTGTCTAAAGTCTACTTTACTTTGCGGTGCATAGGAACAGCCAGAGCTCATCAGTGCAATTTATGGGCAAGGGATAGCATATGGAAAGAAAAGGCAACATGTGAGTATTTAATATATTTAAAGCAGCTGACACCAATTAC